CCGACGGCTTTGTCCATGGCTCCAACCAAGCGGCGGCGACCGGGGCGCTTCGCTTCCTCCTCCTTCTCCTCCTCCTCCTAAGCGAAGACTGGGGGTCGGCGGGAGCAGGCCGCTTCGCCCATGGCTGCCTTTTTGCCCCTTCCCTCCCTCCGTCCGGCCGAGGCTTCCGCTCCCTCCTTCCGCCAGCGTCGACTCCGCGGCGGCTGACGCGGCTCCCCAACGAGACCCGGTTACGCCACCGGCGTACGTACGAAAGGGGAGGCGGGGCGGCGGCGCATCACCTGGGACGGCGCCCGGCAGGAGCCAAACCGCGTCGAAAGCGTTGCGCTGTTTTTAAAAAAACAACCCACCCACCCCGCCTCCTCAGACCCTTGGCTCGCTCTCCGCCCATTTCAGCCCTCGTTGCTAAGCGACGCGCGGCCTGCTCTCTCTGAGCCTGGCCAAAGTCAAGGGCAGGGAAGTAGCAATTAAAATTAATTAAGCCGCCTAGAGCGGTCGTATAGACCAGATGGGCGGGATACAAACCAAATAAATAAATAAATACACACACAACCACAATCGCCCCCCCCCATCACAACAGCACCAAAGTGTGGGGCTAGGTCGCCAAAACAAAGCAAACCCCGAACTGTTGTGGCTCCTGCCAGGGTCAAGGATGCTGACCAGGAGGCCACAACGTTGTGGTGTTAGTGTTTGCTTTGTGTTTTTGTGATTCCAGGCTAGCAGCGTGGCCTCTTTGAAAGGCCCAGACATTTATGCTGGTCCCACAAAGTTTACAGGCCACTTCGTTGACCGGTCTGGCCCCTGACCCAGCAGGTCACTCCCTTCCTTTATTCCTTTAAACGTGAGATATTTTTACCCCACCTTTCTCCTTGGGAAAACACCCAAGGCGGCTCACAACTACGGAAGGCAATGTTTAAAGTTGAAAGCACTCTTGGGCATTTTCTTGAAGAAATCTGCAGATCCATTTCAAATAAGCACGAGCCAATCACCCAAAGGAAAAATTCAGCTTGCAAAGGGTGAGAATTATACTTAAAACAATATGTACAGTGTCATTAGGCCATTTGTCATCATAAAACGCTCATTCCAGTAAAACCCCATGGGAGAGGAAAAACATGCCATCTAATGTAATTAAAAAGAAAAAGACTAAGAGCACCTTTAATGCATTTGTGAAAAGGAATTTCCTTTTCTTAATGCCTATTTGGTGTCTTATGTAAGCTGTGCTGGGTCCCTTTTTGAGGAGAAAGATGGGAAAGAAATAAAATACGGCTGTCTCTTTTCAGTTTTTTTCTCCTCCATTTCCAGTGTACTGGGATAATTGGGCTCAGAATGAATAGGAGTGCTTTGCCTTTAAAGCCACCTAACATATACAAAAGTAACAAAAGTTATTTTTTAAAAAAATCAGTTTTTCTCACCCACCAGTAGGTCTCTGGTCTATGATTTGTCCCCCAGTCTGGAAACCTGGGGAAGCACAGTGGGTTTTGCATGGATCATCCTAGATCATTTCTTTACAATTAGTTTTACAATCTTTTATTTACAAGCAAAAGCACATGGGTAAATCAAGGATCAAACAAGACCAGGAGGTAAATAGCAAGCCTGTGGCTCACCAAAGAGGAGGCTGCTTCGCCCCAGTTATCGAATCTCTGATAGGAAATGCAGGGCAATTATGAAAGGTGTCACCTCTTGCTTGTTATTTATCTCAGTTAGAGGCTACACATGTGATCCTGTGTGGATAACGCTAACAAATGATATGTGCAGAAGCTATTGACCTAACTGGCTACATTTGGGTTCTGCCCAGAATTTTCCTTTACCCTTTAAAAATGGCAAACCAGCTGATTCTATTGCTAACCTTTTTTGCAAGTCGCTCCATTTGCAGAAAAGGAATTAAGTTTTGAAAGAACAGCAACTAAGCAAATATCCTCTGAACTCAGGATTCCAAATTGTCAATAAAGCCATCATGTCCTCCAGGATATTTTGATGGTGTCCAACTGGATGCTAGAACAGGAAACCTGAAAATCTAACAACTTCTTTTTCTTTCACTGAGCATGGAAAAATTTAAACCCAACCTTTGTCCAGATTATTCATATTTGTAGTACAGTATCACTTTTGCAAGGAGCTACAAGAGAAAGTCTGACTAGTTGAAAACCAATGCATTAACACATCATACTTGCCAGTGTTCTTACTTACCCTAGGGCAGTACTTTAAGATGGTTTTAGAAATAATTATGAATGAAACATAGTTGATAGAAATGCTTTTTTGGTCTCAGCGTGGAAACCATCGCCATTCTATCTAGATAGCTTTCAGGAAATGACACTAAACAAGGAGAATACAGCCAGGAATTAATGGTGTTGCATTCCGCCCCTCCCCCCCCGGCCCATTGTGTCAAAACCGACAAAGTCGATAACCTGTTTGGCAAAGGGAATTTAGCTGCCCTGTCCATTCATAATCCACAAAAGAAAAGATCATTATTAACTCAAATTAGGGATGTATCAGATAATACAGATACCATTAGCTAAACAGGAGAGGGAGATTGGGAAATCCCAGGGTTGAGTTAGAAATGGAAGCCAGAGGCTAGAAGGTAAGTTTCAACATGACTTCTCTCACCTGCTGCTGATCTTCTGCAGATCGCTTACTCCCAGTAGCACTTTATAGAGAAGAAGCAGCCGTTGGGGTTTCAAGACGTGGAATACGTGGTTTGACCACGAGCGATCTAGTTCTTTTCCAGGTGGAATTAAGAAGCTAAAAATACAACCCTGAGCTTAGAAGCAGAATAAGTAAGCTCAGCCGGCAAGCAAGTGATGCTGGACAGAGAGAGACTTGATCACAAACTTTGTTTACATCCTTATTATCTTTCAAGACTCAGAAAAGCTCCTCCAAGTCAAACACTCAAGTTGAGTTTTTGTAATCATGTGACTCAGCAAGTAGGGGTGTTGATCCAGTTAAGGTTACACCAGACCACAGTTTCTGAGGAAGGGGGCAGAGATTGGATTCCCATCCCAGTCAGTGTGGAGAATGTTGGGGTGCATGGACCAGTTGCTTGACCCCATATAATCCTTTGCTTCCTCTCTGCGTTCTACATCCTATTGCTTCAGGTTGTTTCCACATTGGTTCTTGTGTACCTTACCTATGAAAATACTTCCTAACTATTAATACATAAGATGATGCCGAGAAAACAAATGTGTAATGCAAATAAACACTTCAATCAATATGGCTCTATATTTCAAAAACTGCTTGAGCAAATTAACCACTTTTATGTCTTGTGGGAAAAGAGTGAACGTTGTGTGCTTCCATCACATACTCTTCTGAGGTCAACATTACTTCTTAGTACTCCAGAAGCCATTTCTCTGTTATAGCATATAGGAACACAGTTCAGTTGGGATGATACGCCCATTCAGAGTCATGTTATATTATTGTATTTTCTGATTGTTGTTTTATTGCATTTCTATTCTGGCTTTGCTGTAGTGAAGGGAGCATCCACGGCTTTCTTCCTCCCTCTTTTACACTTCACAACAATCCCGTGAGGTAAAGTCAGGCTGAGAAAGTGTGATGTGTCCAAGGCTGCCCAGTGAGGTGGCTTGCCAAATAGGAGTGGGGGGGGACTTAAACCCAAGTTCTAGTCCAGCATTGTACCCACTACACTATACTGTCTCCATCTACAAACCTTCCACCAAGGTTTCCTTGGGTGATAGTGGTGGATATCAAAATCCATAGGGTTACTTTATACAGATTGTATCAATGGCACTTAAGAGGCTGCAATTTAAGTTTAATGAGCCATTGATAAATGCCAGAGTGCAAGGCGCATGCCAGAAGATAACCAGTGCTTGAGGTTTCGTCGCTTTTCCGAGTCAACAGCTGAATCTCTCTGCAACCCGCCCTTTGCAAAACACTTTTGCTTTGCTACATTTCTGCCTTTCGTACTTCTGTTGAGAAACAAGTTATTTAGGAAACCGGCCACTGCTCTTCTCCTTAGCTATGTGGGAAAACCCGTCTGCCCGGACAGAGAAACCAGTGGGAAAAAAAATGCCCACTCCAAACAAGACGGTAAACAAATGCCTCCTTTGTTCAAAATGTGGTTTGTCTTGTTAAAAATCCCACCCCAGATGGGGTTGCCTCTCAAATTATAGCCTGTGACATTTTTCTTAAGATATTTGCTGGGTCGCATTTAAAATAATTGTGTTGTTACAATGAAAATGCCCATTGTGCTTTTTAAGTCCCCCTTTCATGGTCCAGAAACGCGCACCCACATAAAGGCTGCTTGTTTCTTTCTGTCCTTCTTTTAAGGCAGTTATTCACGCATCCTCAACAATGGCACTCTTTAGAACTAAGCTGGCTGGTGTTTTCTGGTATTTCTAAAGTCACATAAAATGATGGGTAGGCTGCATGCTGTGAAAGATCAAGGAAGGCCAATATTCTACTATTAGGCTGAATACCAGGAAAAACGTCTTAAGTGTTAGAGCAGTACAGCAACAGAACCAATTACCTCGGGGGGTGGCAAGTCCTGCCTTGAGCAGGGGGTTGGATTGATGGCCTCAGTGGCCCCTTCCAGCTCAGTTCTTCTATGATTCTATGAATGGCTACACATGACAGGAAGTTCAAGTAGGGTACACCGCATGATACCCTTCCAGTTGGGTAGTTTGAGGGGTGGTTACCCACTCCACCATGTCTAGGAGAACTTGTGGTGTCTACATGCCATAGAGTTCCTTAAATGCTGTAGTTGACTCTTGCCTTAAGTAGACCATTCCCTTACTTGGGAAGAATTCCAAGGGCACCATGATGCCAGGCCTCACATTAGCACATGGACCCTTACACAACTGGTGAATGCCCAATAACCCATCTGCAGTCATGCTGGTACTAAGGTTATGCCTTGACTCCTCGGTGCCAGCTAGCTAGGTCCAAGTGAGAGGGAGCTGCTGCTTGTCTCTCACAATGGCCCTGTGAACAGCGCCTTAGAACATGGAACCCCTGTACTGTAATCGCAAGTGTTGTAAGATTAATTATGGCTTCCTTGCAGCAGCTCCTTGCACAATGGCCTAATTCTATCTATCTGGCATCGTTCAAAACAGCAATGCTGTATTTTGGATGGTGAAATCGCGAACACAGCCCAAATGTTTCTGCAATTTGTCGCTTGCTTTCCCTTTGTCCCACTGACCTCTTCCGAGTCCTGTAAAAAAACAGACAAAAGCCTTGACAAACAGAAAATAGGATTGAATCCATACCTTTGCAGGTCTGCGATTCCTTCTGGTTGGGTCTGTTAAGTGTGCCATCTTGGCCCTATGTATTTACTCACT